CAGCAGCAGCAGTTTTTGCGGGTTGAGCCGAGCTGGGCCGAGTTTTAGTGGCTGACGCCGGCGTAATTGTCGCTTGGTACGCGAGCGTGCCGCTACGTGTTTTTCGTTGGCTTGTTTGGTTGGTGCTTATGAAGTTTGCAGAGTTGGGAAGTAGTGGTGTGGGCAGGTTGCCCCGCGGTCTCCGGGAGCTCCAGATTGTCCTCCCCGGCGCCCGCACACGTCGACGAATGCTATGGCGCGCCATTGATCGATTCGCATTTTATAGCTGTCTCTCTGATCCGGGTCTGTGTGTGTGTGTGTGTTTCATTTAGGCCGTATCTGACCCATTCTGGACATAATTGTGCATTGGATTGTGTGCGGTAAGCGGCCGGCTCCTCTCTGGCTTTCGGGTTCGTTTCGCAATGATTCGGCCATTTGGTAGCTCTGGCTTTCCGAAGTGCCTGCTCGACGTAACGCTCGCTGCGATGAATACACCCAGTCCAGGGCGAAACGGTGGAATAGAGGGATTGCACTGAGCGTCACGTGTAAGAAGATATTTTTCGATGCAGTCTCTCTCTCTCTGTGTTTCATCCCTTAGTTGTGGTAACACTGACCGAACTTTGCTTACGGTTAGGAGCGGGAATCAGTAGTAGTACAGCCTTCTACTCGCCAGTCATGTAACTGATTTGTGCAAGACGGATATGCGAAAGAAAGAGAAGCCGCATCAGCTGCTGCTGCTGCTCAGCGCGTCCCCGCTGTCCCGATCGCGGCCCGTCTTGCTGCATCCAGTCCCTCGCTCTTCTGGTCTTTTTTTGCAAGATGGCGAGGTTTTTGTTGTGTTGCAGCGCTCCGCTGATCGCTCAGCGGTACTCCGGGAACTGCCTGCTAGCTTGGGGTGTGCTAAAAAATTGTTTCAGATTGATGCCGCTGCTTGGTCGAAAGCCGTTCAGGCGGACGCTGTGCCCGAGTGATCTCAGACCGGACGATCAGGTGTTCTATCTGCCGCTCACCGGTGAAGTATTCACTTCCTATGAGTAAGCATTTATTGCTTCTCTTACAGTTCAGCGTTGCATCCCCCGGGGAGAAGGGGGGGGGGAGAGGGAGAGGGGGCTGTCTATCGTAACTTTTTTGATACAGGACAGTTGCATATTTTGGTAGAAATTTGTTTTTAGAATGCAAAATTGCGTGGGGCAGCGTGAGAGTTTGCCAAAGAGGTATGCATATCTCCGGCGACTCCCAGTTAATTTTAATGCTTTTGTGGTCCTGAACTTAGTTCCTTTTAACATGACGAAATGGGGCACTGTATTACTGATGATTCCCACTCCATTTCGCAACTATTCTGTCGTCTGCGTTTACAGCTCAGGGATGAAACATAGACAGGCTACCAAGTCAGTGCACACATACAGGCTTGCTTATTTGGGAGATCTAAATGCCAATTAGTGTTTTCATTAATTATCAAAATTCGATTGTGTTCCTCTCCACAGTGGGCCAATAACGCCAAACAAACTGCATATGTTAGCACACTGAAGATTTCAGGCCCCGGTTCTCTTCCAATCTCTTTGCCAAAAGCATTCACTGTTTGTATTTTTCAAAAATTTCTACAACACTTAGTATTAGAACTAATTGAAAGGTGCCAACAGCTCTTAGTGCCGATGCTTTGCTTTGTTGAAAAAGACGTTTTTTAACTTGTTGGAAGCTTCATATCCTGTTGTTTCACTTCTACCCCGTTCAACTTGTTAACCTTCGCTGTTGTTTGTCTCACGTCCACTTAGCCCATGTAATTTCAGGTAGTTTTTCCTGTAAATTTGGGCTTCTGCGTTTGCTGTTGCAGCTGAACTCGTCAGCAAAGTTTGTAATATCGGCATAGGAATGAGTGTATTAAAACTCTGCATAAGCATATTTAGTGGAATGTTGAAGAGGATAGAGTTTTTGACGTAAACACTACCACAGCGTTCTTGTTCTAGGAACTTTTTTCAACGTCAAATTGCTCTCAGTTCGATGATATGGACCTGTGCAGTAACCGGTAAAACAGGACTCACATTTGAAGAAGCTCTTGAATCTGAAAAAAATGCTCAGGTAAATCTTTACTTTTGCTGAGAGCGTTTGTACAGCTTGCAAAGTCATCACGGGAATGTTCATAGGTAATCCAAAGGGGGAAAGGGAGGCGAAGGTCCCTCTAGCGACGCAAGCACCCATGCTGCAAAAGTCCGAGTCTGTCCATAAATAAAACTAAAGTAACTCTAAGTAGCAGTGTGTTACAACTCCGTTCCTAGTTTTTGCACTGTTCCAGGAGCTTGCCCTGGATCCGCCTGTGGGACTGGTTGGCCCATTTTAAAGCATAGTGGTAGTAGCTGTGAAGTTGCAGAGACTTTCTAAAATGTCCAAACAAGTTACTAAAATTCCGGAAAATAATCATTAAAATCGAGTGTACTGCCCGGATT